AAAAACGGGGATTGTGAGGGAGGGATGGAGGAAAACGGCGGGAAACAGGACTCGGGTGGGAGAAAAGAGAGGATCCTGAGGGAATATTGGTGGAAAACGAGGGTAGAAAGGAGCAAGATGAGACGAAATGAGGAGAAAACAGATTGAGATTGAAAAACATGAAAGATTAGGAGGAATAAACGGGGGAAAACGGGGGTGAAAAAGGAAGGGACGGCGGAAAATGGCGGGAAACTGGATCCGGGTGGGAGAAAATGGAGGATCCTGAGGGGGAATCGGTGGCAAACGGGGGTGAAAAGGAGTGGGATGAGGGGGAAAATGGGATTGGGATTGAGAGAAATGGAGGATTCCGGGAGAAAACTGGGGGTAAAAATGGAGGTAGTGGGATGAGGGGAAATGGGATTGGGATTGAGGAAAATGGAGGATTCCGGGAGAAAACTGGGGGTAAAAAGGGAGAAAATGGCGGAAAACAGGGTTGAGGCGGGAGAGAACGAGAGATTCTGAGGGTAAATTATAGAAAAAACAGGATTGGGACTAATAAAATGGAAGATTCTGAGAGGAAATTGGGGGGAAACGGGGTGGGATGAGAAAAAGTGAGGGAAATAGGATTGAGGAAAAAAAAAGGAAGATTCTGAGACAAAATCAGAGAGAAATGAGAAAAACCAGGCCTAGAACGAGGGAAAATTAAGGAAAAAAGGTATTGGGATAAAAGATTCTGAGGGAAAACCAGCACAAAACAGGCAAAAAGAGGGCTGGGATGAGGGTAAAAGGGTGTTATCCCCCTGTGGAAGGGGCAGGACCCCCCCGGGACCCCCGTCCTTACCTGCCAGGGTGCCGGTGTGGCGGAAGGCGCGCACCTGCGAGTCGGACAGGCCGGTGAGGAAGGCGAGCCACGAGTCCATGAGGAAGCCGTCGTACACCACGGCGTGGCGGCCCCTCCGCACCACCCCGGCCACCAGCTCCGACAGCCCCGCCCGGAACCGGCGCCAGGGCCGCGAGCTCAGCGACAGCGGGTACTCCGGGGAATCCTGGGGGGGGTCGGAGGAGTCAAAACCCCTCCCAAAAAATCCAAAAAATCCACTAAAAGCTCCTTAAACTCCCCCCCTCGAGGTACCTCCTTGAACTTCTCCGTGAGCTGCTGGATGATCTCGGAATTCTGCAGCTCCCGGAACATCTCGGGGGTCACCACACCTGGAGGAGAAAACCCAATCCGGGTTTTCCAGCTCTTAACTCCTCCATCCCAAACCCCTGGATCCTCCGACTTCCTCCCACCCCATCCTTCTTTTCCCCCCC